TTAATTCACAGTTCTCTGCTCTAAATTCTGTTTTGACTTTAAATATCAGATGTATTTCATATTTATTTATATATATTCTTGTATTTTTGAATGTTTGGATTTATTTTTGCTTCCGTACGTCGATCAGAGGCAGATTGTGATGTGCTGTTTGTTTTTCCGTCAGATGGCGAGTTCCAACATCCGATATGGAGAGGGAGTCAGTCGGGAGATCGGCATGGTAACCAGCATCATCACATTCATCTCATTTTGTTCAAACTGAAACAAAACAATTCATTTCAACTATGATAACATCAGCTCCGCCAGAATTTCTTTTTCCCGCGACCATCGAGAAAATATTGAAGACGTTTTTTTTAAACCAGATTTAGTAAATCAGAGACATTAAGACGTTTAGCTGATGTTCGTTAAAATTTAATGTTTCATCCAAACATAAACAACATTTTCTCTGTTAACGCTACAGCCGCACTTTGAGCTACGACCTAATGTGCCAATCAATGACCCCTGAGAGGTGCATGTCAACGATAACGTTCTGTCTCCGGTTCTCCTGCAGGACCTGCAGAACCTTGGAGCCCGGAACGTCTGTCTGATGACGGACATGAACTTGTCCCGCCTCCCTCCGGTGAAGGCCGTGCTGGAGTCGCTGGTGAAGAACGGAGTCAAATACAAAGTGTACGACAACGTGCGCGTGGAGCCGACCGACACCAGGTACACAGGACACAGTCATGTGTTTTTGTCATTGGTGCATTATGGGGACTCGATGTTCCCAACAATAACAGACCATAATAACAGTTGCCTTGGAGACGAGGAAACACAGTTCAGCTTGATCATTTTTACTGTCAGTGATGAACCAATGAGAAGTTTGAGCTTTAATTTCTCTCTTTCAGTTTTAAAGATGCCATCTCGTTTGCAAAAAACGACTCATTCGACGTGTTTGTGGCAGTGGGCGGGGGCTCTGTGATTGACACCTGTAAAGCAGCCAACCTGTACTCAAGTCACCCCGACGCCGACTTCCTGGACTTCGTCAATGCTCCGATCGGTAAAGGGAAGCCGATCACCGGCGCCCTGAAGCCGCTCATCGCAGGTAACCATTTGCATTACCGTGGCAACCACAGGCTTGAGGTGATAGGATGGTTGGTGGAGGAAGGTTAGGGGCGGAGTCAGGACACAGTGACAGTGATTGACAGCAGACAATTTTATCTTATGAAATATTCAAATATTGATCATTGATTCTGAATGTTTTTCAGCTCATGATGTTGATTATTAATCTGTCGACCTTCACCTGTTGAGCGAATCCACAGAAACAACCTTTCACAACGATTCTTATCAGTAAAAATATCTGAGGTCAAAGGTCGACAGGTCTAAAGACACTTACCATGACGGAGCAGCTTTTCCATTGAAACGACATGTTATTCATTTATGTCATAATTTAATATTTTGAAAAACTTGTTTTGCTCAGTTCCTACGACCGCCGGCACCGGCAGTGAGACGACTGGAGTCGCCATCTTTGACTACGAACCTCTGAAAGCTAAAACTGGTACAAGATCGATCGAATCATCTCAATCACGTTTTTATATTTGAACTTGATTTTTAATCAAAATATTTTCTCTGTCGTTAATGAAATTGATTTTAATGTGAAGTGAATAGAATTATTGAACCAACGAGCGAATCAGGAACCAGGTCATGATGACATCACAGTGTCTATCCGAGCTGTGATTGGCTGTCTGTGTTCAGGTATCGCCAGCAGAGCCATCAGACCCACGCTGGGGATCGTGGACCCAACGCACACGCTGAGCATGCCCCAGCGAGTCGCTGCCAACAGCGGCTTTGACGTCCTCTGGTCAGTTTGTCCAACATCTGTCTGTGACCAACATCTGTCTTTGTCCAACATCTGTCTGTGTCCAACATCTGTCTGTGTCCAACATCTGTCT